TTGTGTAATTTTGTGAAAAAAAAGGGAAAACTATTATTTTTATTATTAAAATAAAATTAATTTAATTTGATTAATATATCAAGATGCTAAAAAGTAATGATTTCAAATGAAAATATAATAAAATAATATCATCTCAGTAAAAAACCTTATATTGTAAAACATCCAGTTCAGACTGGAAGTTCGTGTATAGTTATTGCTTCTTGTATCTGGTCTCGATTTTCATGCAACTCCGTTCTAGAGATTGACGAAGAACAAACAGACAGTAGGAATGCATAGGTCTTCAATCTGAAAATTGCAGCCCAATAATTTCTAAATGTCATTAGAATAAAAAACGTTAAAAAGTTTTATAATAAATCTGTCATTACGCATAATATTTTCACTTATAAGTTTAGTGAACGAGTTGAAATTACTTTTTAAAAATTGCGATATTTTATTTAACAGATATTATCGAATCTATTTCAGTTCAAAATTATCACAACTTTTGAAAGATATGGAATTTCGAATTTAATCTCGAATTTGTCTAGGAAAGAAAAATTGCCAAGTTGAAGAAACTTTCTTGTAAAAACCAAGAAAAATAGAAAGAATTGAAAAAGATATTTGAGATACCAACTACAATATTATAAAGCTACCGAAGATTCCATTTTGATCGATGAGCAGAAACTTCTAAGGAGAAAGTCCTACAATTTTGTATTTTATAATAAGAAACCTACCGAATTGACATTCCTGTTTCGACATTTATAAATTTGTTCGAAAGTATTTCAATATTGTCATTTCATTTATAATCAATCATTTTGTTTCGCTTGAATTAATTTATTTCGAATTCTTTTTCCTTTAAAATAAATTGTTTTAACTTAATTCGCATTAATTTATTATTTTTTAAAATTATATTTATGGGAAAATGTGTTTTCTCTTTGCTTCTTTTGGTGGTTATCGAATGTCGTAATGACTTTACCTATGTATAATATAAATAAATTACTACATTATTAAAGGTGATGATATTTATACGAATTTAATTCCTTTAGATTTCCATTATAATAATAGCGAACACAAATTAATTAATTTTAATGTTTATAAAATTAAAATCATTGTATTTTCAAATTTATTTTATAACTTTTCGATTATAACATTCATATAAGCTTGTTTTTATGTATTTTTAATAAAAGCTTGAATAAAAACTTGTAGCATAAACTTTTAATTATATTTACCAGCATGAGATAAATAATAACAGCAGTTGAATGAAAATTTAATTAAATGTGAGGTAAGATGCCTTGAGAGTTTGTATTTTAGGTTTATTTAATTAATAATGATATAAATATATAAACAATGTTATGACTGTTTATCCCTGAATTATGGAAGAATGTTTTAAATTTTTCGATAACTTTTATAACGCTTAATACCTAATCAAATTAAGATGATAAATATTTTTAAAAAGAATTGTAGTAACATGTTTTTTTCTAAACTTATAAAATATAGTAATCTTCCAAATTAAATTTTATATAATATTAATAATTATTACTCTCTGCATTCTGGAAATTATAAAGTTTTTACAGTTAATTATATTTAACTTAGTTTATAATGTACTTTCCGTATAGCTGTCGAGTTCGATACTTAATTTGATGAGTCGATAATTGGATTCTTAAATATTAAAAGAAAATTTTTATAAAATAAATTAATAAATCATTTTTTATAACTACGAATTACAATATAATTTAATTTATTCAAGTATCTCTCATTATGTACAAGTAGACCTCATCTGGTATGTATTGTAATCCATCATAATGACCGTAGATCATGAATGTAGTATGAAAGAAAGTTTTCTTTCCTGTGTATGAGAGAGAGATTCAACTTAATCTTAAATCCCCGAAGAAACCTAGATGATATTTTCAAATCCTTACCTGATCGATACAACGTACAGTACACTTGACTATACAACTTTGGAAATACGTCAGAGAAATTGCAATATTAATCTGATAGAAATTGTAATGCCTGTTTTTCTAATCTCCAAATACGTAGTTTTTCTACTTTGCTCGTGTTAAAATAAAGTTTTATTTGTTAAGTAATATTTAATTTAATAATGTCATTAATTGATTCTCGTATTTTTCTTCTCTTCTAAACAAGTAAATTAAATTATTTTCAGTTATATACTTATGTAATGTGATTATCTTAGTATTTACTTGTAATGCTTTAATCAGATCCCAAAAAACAAAAACTAGCAAATTTTTCATAATGAAAGTTTTTTTTGTCTTTTAATCTAAATTATTCAGAATAATCCAATAATTCTATTATTTTTTTCTTTAGAAAAACAAATTATGCAAAGTCATAAAATAAAAATACAATAAAATTCCTTTTTTTCACGTATATTTGCACTTTTCATTAATTAATTTAATAAAAATATTGGATTAAATTCGTTTAAATATTGTATTTTTTCGTAGCTAACAAAAATATTACTTCACCTAATATTTTATCTATTTTTTGTTTGAATATATTTATGTATAATAAATAGAAACTGTGGAATAAATTTTGTAGTTTGATCCTTAGAAGACAAGTAACTAAGAATATATGCAGATTTCTACTAATTTGATTGGCTAAGAGCTATTTCATCCTTTAATCTCGATAAAAATCATCCAATAAGATAAATAAAAACTATTTTTCTATATATTTTATATCGTATCACATCTCAGGGCTTCGGAATATTGGAATTGTGTGTGATTTTGTTACTACTGTACTGTACTTAGGGCCGGATTTACACACGATATAAAATGAGTTACAGCTTGGTAGCTCACATTTTTTCATTCATTATTATTTGGTGAAGAGGTAAAAACTGTTATATGCTATAGCTAAGGGTCACTATTCTAAGTTCAGTCTTAAATGTACTACCAAGTAATTCATTCAATATATATGTTACAGTCAAAACCCGTTTTTAGTTAGAACGCGTTTTAACTAGTTGAAACTAGTTTATACTGAATGTCTTTGTTAAAACCCGTTTTGTCTAGTTAAAACTAGTTTTAACTCAAATTCATTTTTGACTAGCAGTAAATTCTAGTTTTAACTAGACAAAACGGGTTTTAACAAAGACATCCAGTATAAACTAGTTTTAACTAGTTAAAACGCATCCTAACTAAAAACTGGTTTGACTGCAACGCATAGAGTGATTCGGGGTAAGATGGTAAGCGGGGGAAGATGCCTAATTTTTGATATTTTCAAACGGTGACGTCACATATTGTCATGTATTTGTATGATGAATCGTTGGGCCAATATTGAGTGCGGAAAGCTGTAGTTGGCTACCGTTACTTCATTTTCTACATCCGAGAAGAATAAAAGCTAGATAAGAACGAAGTTTTTGTTGTGAAATGTTTCTAGAATAATTTTAAACTAAAAGTTAAAATGGAATTTATTAAAAATTGCTAAAAACAATTAATGTGTGATGTAGTTAAGGTTCTAAAGTTTCCATTGTCAGCTACCGCCGATCCCGATCGGACATGCTGGAGCACGTGACTCTACTAGGCATCTTACCCCAACAAATGGAAAATATGCCACATTTTTCTTGGGGTAACGTGCCTATTTTTTGTTAATTGATTTCCAATATGCCTATTTTTAATAAACTTTTGTTTTCTCGTTTTATTGCAGGATATGCATAGAAATTATATAAGGACTTCTCAAAAAAGTTTTTGGACTGAAAAAAGCTTTCAGCTAGCTATAGAACACGTTAGAACGGGCGGAAACTTAACAATACTTATACTGTGCTGTTATACTTACTATGAAGTACTTTGTACTACATATGCAATAAATTAAATTTGGTTAAGAAATTCAAAAATTAATTTTAAGCAATTATATTTGTTATCTTACCCTAATGGCATTTGGCATCTCACCCAGATACTTGGGGTGAGATGCTTAAAATGCCAGACAGTGAAAAAGTCGTCATTGCAAACACAGTATAGAATTTTTTAAAATAAACTCCAAACTTTTATTTGAAAGACATACTCCAGAATATGATATTTTCATTAGAGGGCTCCTAAACTCAAATTAGCGCTGTAATTTTCTTCATAAGCAAAATGTTAGGCATCTTCCGCCGAATCACTATACATAACTTTATTTCCCCCAAACATATTTATGTAGCTAAAATTAGTTTTAACTAATGTTAAAAGTTAAAACTAGTTTTATCTAAAGTCAAAACATGTACAGCAGTAAATTAACTAGACAAAACCGGTTTTGTCTAGTTAAAACTAGAATTTACTGCTAGTCAAAAATGAATTTGAGTTAAAACTAGTTTTAACTAGACAAAACGGGTTTTAACAAAGACATTCAGTATAAACTAGTTTCAACTAGACAAAACGGGTTTTAACAAAGACATTCAGTATAAACTAGTTTCAACTAGACAAAACGGGTTTTAACAAAGACATTCAGTAAAAACTAGTTTCAACTAGTTAAAACGCGTTCTAACTAAAAACGGGTTTTGACTGTAACATATATACAATATTATACAACAAAAATATTTATATAGTTACCATTGCAATTATTGTTGTTATATAAATATAAATAATGTTAAAGACAATTAAAATTTTAATAATGTTAATATTTTAAAAAATCATATTTTAATACAGAGTTTTTCTATCAGTAATAAAATCAATTAATTTTCTTAACGATAAATTGTGTACTGAAAAAAATCTATTATATTCAACAGTTTATTCTTATGCACGATACTGAATACGATATAAAAACTAGTTTATATTTATTTTATTGGATGATTTTTATCGAAATTATATGACGAAATAGCTCTTAGCCAATCAAATTAGTGGAAATCTACATATAATCTTGGTTACTAACTTATCTCTAAAGATCAAACCACAAAATTTATTTTACAGTTTCTACATAAATATATTTAAACAAAAAGTGGATAAAATATTATATGAATTAATATTTGCGTTACCTACGAAAATATTTATATATAAATGTATAGAAAATTTTAAAAAAACGAGTCAAAAATAGAGTTAATTATTTATTTAAGATGGAAATACACGAATACAAAAGTTACTCTATATATATACTATGTCATTACTGACAATATTTGAATGGTCCTTTAGTTCAGCATGTTATTGATTTCACATTGGTGAAATCGAATAGTGAAAATATTGGAACATCGAACACAACTCAATCATTCACAAAATGCAAATTACAATCAAAGATGAAAATTCACAACATAAATTAGAATAAGTAATGCCATCTAGAGGCGAAAAAATCATTAAAATGATTATTGTTCATAAATACTCTGAAGTGGACGGGTGATTTGATCGCACAATTCGCATTTATCATCAAAAAACACGCGCTTTTGAGTTGTGCAATTAGAAAATTCGTATCGTCATTTTCAGAAAATATTTTCTTTCTTTCTTTTTTTATGTATTTTTTTTGTTTTTTTCGTTTTTTTTTTGTAAGATAATATACAATTATTTTCAATGGAAAGTTGGGATTATTTACAGTACAGTTCCCAAATATATTTTCGATTCCTGATGAAATTTGCTGATAAAAATATAGACGCTCTTTACAGCAAAAAATGCATAAAAATCGCCATTTTATGCCATTCGATATAACTGCGATATAACTCGAGATTATCGGATAAAGTAGATATTACTATATTATCGATCACAGTTCGTTTTTCTTTGTATTTTGTATTTTGTTTTTTTTAAAGAAGAATATCGGAATTTAATTTATGAAAATTATAATATTCAAAAGCTGGTAACAAGAATGCTGGGCAAGAGAGGATTTTCAGATCCGCTAGCGTTAAATTCGTCGATATCGCGATGATCTTCTTCGGTATGAGCTGTTGCACTTTTGAAATCTTCTGCCACGATGCTGAGTCTCGATCTTCTGATGCTGGAACTGGGACTCGGTTCACGCGAAGGAAATGTGGACTCCACACAAGAAGAACACACCGTGGTTACGCAATTGGGAAAACCTAAAGTGCTCTCTTTACTCACAGGCAAACTGTAAATAAACTCTGTTAACCAGTTTTATTAAATATAAATAAATAAATAAATAATCTACCTGGGTCTTTGAGTTTGTAATTTTTCTTTGGCGTTTCCAGTATAAGCGGACCAAGTACTGGTTCTTGTTCTTAAGCATATCTGTGCCTTCCACTTGGCCCATTCTTGAATGGAACTAGTCAAACTCGGAACTCGTCCCAAGAGTAGTACAATAGCCCCGTCCATGCTCTTAAATTAATAAAAGATTTTATTAACTGATTTTAGAAATTATATTATTAATATTCTTCAATTTTTTTTATTTTTTAAAAATTATATAATAAAAAGGTTTTTTTCTTGTTGTTTTATTTATTTTTCGGTTCTTATCTGCTTGGAATGCCTAGTCAAAAGGCGTTATGGGCCTGTATTTTTTTTTCGTTTTCGAAGTAATAAACACATATTTGCAAATTAAATTTAATGTATGCATGTAGTTAAAATATCCAGCAACGAGTTGCTTAACTTTCCCGGCAACATTTAAAAATGGGTGTGGCGCCATCTGTTATGATATTTTAGTATTAAAAACTTTCTATATTTTTAATTATTATAAAATAGCAAAAAGTTCAATTTTCTGGGTAGAGACAGGTTTTATAAAAAATTGTAAATGCCAATAACGAATAAAATCGTTATTATGTCCGACCATAATGGAGATTTGACACACGACCCCTCTATCTCCTCACCCTCTCGATCTTTCTTCATCAAAATTTATTTGTATCAATCTCTCTAATACACAAATTTTCCTGCAAAATTTCAGAAAATTTCGACAAAAATCACAAGAGTTTTTAAACTTCAAAGAGATAATAAAATCGTGCCTTCCCCATACACACACATTAAGATCTATACCTACAGAAAAAACTCCCAATTTTTTTTTTTTTTTTTTGTATTTCTCGACGTTTCAAGGTCCCCTGAGTCCAAAAATGTAAAAATTTTGGGGTGTCATCTTTCGATCAATCGATATACTTTCCGTCTGTTATATATAACAGAGAAAAATTATGGCAAAGTATGAAAAAGTAAAAATAAAGTGGAGAAAATAATTTAAAACACAAATGAACAAAAGTTTTAAAATTAAATTAAATATATTGTAGCTTTATACTTTATGAAAGATACATTTATGAAAAAATTACATTACAGAAACTTTGGAATAAAGTAGACTGAAAATAGTATTATAATAGAGTATATAAATTGAATTAAGGAGTATTCTTTATGAAAGAAAATTCTTCAGAAAGAAGAATTTATATATAAAAAATTGGAATCGAATAGATAATGAAAAGAATTATTTCAGAACAGAAAGTCCTTCATCATTCTTTAGTATCAGAATTGCAATTTACATGACTATGAAGGGAATTACTTAGGATTGAATGCCAATTCGTACAAACACTATTCTAAATCATGAATTGTTACAAATGGATCGTTATCTGGAATAAAAACCATTTGCTGAAATGGGTTTATTTCGAACGTTGTCAGTCGTTTCGAAGATAAGATTCGTAAGATTTTCTGGAATTACAGGGATCTTCATTGGCAATATAATAAATTGCTACATAAAAAACAATACGCCCACTGTTACAATCTATTAACAATGATATATGAGGCATTTGAGATAAATAAATTCATGATTCACAGTAACATAATTCGAATTAATAACATAAATATTTGAGAAAGGAGAGAGGACTTTATTAAATCTAAATGCGGAAAATCTTAATTGTGTTAATGGAAAACAAATTTAGAATAGAAAGGATAATAAATCGAGAGGATCGCATTAACAGAATGGAATAAGAGATAAAATATTGATTTTTCATATAATAGTGAAGAGAATATTAACTAATAAATAAATATATGTTGAAACAGAATAAATTGCACAGTTTTAAGGACTAATATATTCGTTTATAGTGTTATTGGATTAGAAACAAAATCGAAAATTTCTTTTACCAAGAAATCCTATATATTACTATTCCAGACTACGCTCGTTGCAATTTTCTCTTGAAGGAAATTTGATTTCATGACAGTATTTCAATACTGAATAATTTCTTATGGCGCATACATACGTAATTTCGAACAAAAAATAAAATAAAATAAACTTTTTTGAAGTTTTAAAGTTCTAAATAAGGAACCTCATCAATTAAATTTAATGAGAATTTTCAATATTGATTTCTTTTCTATATCGTTTGATAGTAAAAAAAAAATAGAAATAAACGTTTTTTTTACTTTTGATTTTTATTAAACGAGAGATTAAGTTATATAATTTGTAGAAAAAATTAATGAATTAAATTTTATTTTATATAAAAATCTTTCCATTTTTTCGAATAAATGTCTAGAAGTAGATACATCGATACAGTAATATATCAGATGAAACAAAACTGAAACACGATACATAAATATAGGACCATTCATTGTCTTATCTTTTACTCTGCTTGTTTTCCTAGCAATGAAATATTACTGAAAATTAATATTCAAAGTATGAGATGACTGATAAATTGATATATTAATATAATTTAGATCGTTATATAATTATTTAAATATAATTAGTGTTTCTTCTATAACTAGATTATTTACTTAGGTTCACACGAAGGTAAATTGCGAGATAAGATTATCGCATGATTTATTGCCTGATGAGAGTTTTGAAAGGCTTAATTAAGTAAAAAGATTAATAAAGAAAGTAAAACTCTATTATTTTACAAGACAAGACATGATTTAATCGATTAAATAAATGGCATGATAAACAAAATTAATTTAAAATTCAAAATTATAACTTAACCGCCCGGCTCCCCATTGTGGGCTTGGACAAAAGCACAAGAAGAAAGATCCTATTAATGTCCAGAATGTCGATATTTTGTTATGATGATTATAATTATAACAATTAAATAACCATACACAGTTTACTGTATTTTTATATTAATGATGTTAATTATTAAATTATGCTAAATCTCAAAATTTGCCTTAATTTAAACATTGAATTTTCAGATTTTTATATAAGATTAATGACGATTGATGTGTACACATATCGATCATTAATCATTTAAAAAATATATATAGTACAAGTAAACACATGTTTAATTAGATAAATTTCTCATTAAAAGATTAATTGCATTAAAGCGTGAATTTTTATATGGTATAAAGATGCAATCGAAGAAAATTGAGAAGAAAAATTGGTCTGGAAATTTTATTATAATCGTGCAAATTCTTAAATATAATATAAAGCAACCGAGAAAGAATATATTTTATGCAACAATTTGCCGATTTGTCGAAATACTTAATCCTTCCTGAACATTAGTTTTATTATGATTGCATTCTGTTGGATTGCTGTTAAATTGAATTATATAAAGTGTTATTCAAAAAGTGAATTTTATAATAAGATTTGTACTGATATTTCTATCGATCGTGCACATGTATACTCGATAGACTCCATATTTTGAATAAATCAAGAAATTGAGAATAGTAAAATAATTTTAAAATATAAATCTAATTGCGTTTTTATTGTTTTTTATTTAAATTATCGTTATTTATAAATTTAAATTCGTAGATAGTTTATTCGTAAAGCTCCACATTGAATTTCTATTCAAATTCGACTGAATAAATCTTCTTGTTTTTGTTTAGATATAACTTAGTTTTGTATTTTCCGTTTTAATTAAGGATTTATTAAATTTTTTAATTAAAGTAATACGCATTTTTAGGGATTTATATATTAATTTTTTTAAAATTTGCTATAATAAATTCAATAAATAATTATTTTTTGAAGAGTTTGCAATGTAAAGAGATCCTGGTAACAGTTCATCAGTGCATAAATCCGATTGTCGTGGAAGCATGAAAACAACGATTATATTAAAAAATAAAATTGACTGTGCTAGTGAATTTAGTTCATTAAAAAATAAAAATGTTTTAAGAAAAAAATTACAAAGTTTTTACTGTTTAATTTTCAATCAATTCGGTTTTTAATTTACAACTTTCTTAAGTTACGTGAAGTAATTCATATAAATAGTTTATGATACTAAAATAGTTTTTAAATTTTTTTTTACAAAAGTCTATAAGATATTATATTAATTTATCGGTTTTTGACGTAATTCTTTTTATAATCGTCATAAATAAGTCGACGGCACGAACGATTCATCGACGTGATAAAATTTATGATAAAACTCTTCGCGCAACTTTCAATGCTGGATTTAGAAATATGACACCCCTAGGACCACAGTGTACAGGCACCCCCAAAATAATAGTGCCGCTTTTGCACTGAACGATTCCATTTTATAATTTTAATTCTTCAATAGTTGTATTTTTTTACAGATTTTTAAATATCGAAAGGACAAAGGCACTACTATTGAAAACCTATTATTAATACTACTACTCTGTTCATACAAAATGTATCCATATTTAATATTACTCAACTCTTATTTTGTCTTTACTTAAACTTTTAATTTGCATCAATTCCTTTATGAATTGTTTCTAAATTAAATTATTTTTTTATTATTATTTTATCATTATTATTATTACTTTGAATGTTTTTCCTGTCCAAACTCTTGCATCACTAGGCCCGGGACTAGTGGTCCTAATGGTAAATAAAACACTGTTTAAGTTAATTAAAGACGTGAATTATTTATGGTCTGTATCATTATAATTTACGTACCATACGCTTTATTTAGCTATCGCATTTTTTAACACTGCTACAAAAATTCTAATTAATAATTAATTCCACAATAATAAGATTATTTTGTCATGCATTAAATATGCAAACAATCAAATCACGACAAAGTTTAATCTGTATGTTACATAAAGTAAAATTCGATATTTTAAACAGGATATTTTTGTTGTGATCGTGAAATTCTATTAATTTTTGTTTTTTACTCTTTCCTCTCTTTGGACACTTAAAAGGCCTTTTTTTTAAAACCCGTAATGAGTTCGGAAAGAACCCACTACGGGTAAGAGAAAGGGCCCAATATATCAGGGATGGACTATCCTCGAAAAATTCTGGGGTTTTACGACCCGTCCAGATTCATTCCCTGATCCTCCGAGCGAAAGGCTAACACCTTAATCTAATAGTTTTCAACCAAGGTGTTGCAATATTTTACGGGTACCGCGAAATATGGTGATGAGTAGCACTATAACAATTTTTACGTATATGCATGATCATGACGATAGGTATTATAAATACGTGTATAATTAGTTTAAACTAATTATACACGTATTTATAATACCTATCGAATATA